AAAAAGAAATACCACATGTTCTCACTTATTGATGGGAGCTAAAAATAAATAAATAAATTCAAAAAAAAAAAAAAAAGAATAAGAAGAGACAAATGCATATCAACCTCCATTTCTGGAATAAAAATTTAAAGGGTAAGTTTTATAAATAATATCAAAAGACAAATATAAATAGGATAAAAATTGCAAAAAGAGTTAATTTCATATAAAAGAGCTTCCAGGATACAATTTTTAAAAAGGCTATAAAAAAGAACAGTTTGTAAAGGACATGATTGGTAACACAAAAGAAAGGAAATGCAAATGACTCTCACACAGATCAAGATGGGCACAAATTCCTGATACTCCTCCCATCAAGAGGTAAAGTCTATCTATATCTCCTTTTGGATCTAGGCAAGCTTTGTGACTACTCCCACCAATTTAACATGACAGAAGCACCAGCGTCAGTTTCTAGGCCCAGGCCTTCAAAGACTGGCAGCTTCCACCTCTCATCTCTTGGACCATTAGTCTTGGAGCCCAGATGTAGTGCTGAAAGAAGCCCAAACCACTTGCAAAATCCATTTGTAGGTGCTTGCTCCATTCCATAGCACCAGCTGAGTTCCAAGCCAACAGCCAGTATCAACTGTCAGCCATGTAAGTGAGCCATTTTGGACATCCAGCCCAGACAAGCCTTTAAATGATTCCTATCCAAGATGCTATCCGCCTGCAATCACATGATTCAACTAAAGTGAGAAATGGCCCATCTGAACCCAGTAATCCCATGGAACCATAAAAGATAATAATATGCTATTGTTTTAAACCATCATTTTCAATTACTTTGTTATAAGGTAATAATAAAAAATAAAGGAATTTGTTCATGCAGAAGGAAGATAATACCAGATAGAAATGTGGATTTACACAAATCAATTAAGAGTGCTGGAAATAGAATAAATGAAGGTAAAATAAAATTCATTCTTTTATTTTTTTAAATTAATTTAGAAGATAGATGAAAGCAAAAATAGTAGCAATGTATTATGTGTTTATAATACAAGCAAAAGTAAAATTATCATCATAATAGCACAAGAATGGGAGAGAGGACTCTACAAAAAAAGCTACTAGATCTAAGAAGGGCATTTAAAAAGGTCAGTACACAAAAATCAATTGGGTTTTTGTATCTTAGCAACCAACATGTAGAATTTGAAATTTGCAAAAAAATACCATTTATAATAGTATGAAAATATATGAAACACTTACAAATTTGACAAAAGATGTTCAAGACCCATATGCTGGAATATACAAAGCATAGAGAGACATGCCTTGTTCATAGATAATAAGGCAATATTGTTAAGATGTCGATTCCTCTTAAATTAATATAGACTCAATCAAAATTACAGTAGGCTTTTTTCATAGAAATTGACGAACTTATTTAAAATTTATATGAAAATTCAAAGGACCTAGGATAACCAACACAAATTTGAAAAAGAACAAAGTTAGTGACCTTTCACTACCTGATTTCAAGACTTACTGTAAAGCTGTAGTAGACTACGAAGTGTGATGGTAACATTTTTAAAAGTCTGCACATGTTCAGTAAAGACACATTTTTTTTTTTTTCAAATATTTTCAATTTGGGCTTGGTTGAATCCACAAGCTCAGAATCCATGGATATGGAGGGCCCAACTGTGTATACTGCATGATTTCATTTATATAAAATTCTAGAACAGTCAAAATAAATCAATAAAGAAAGCAGATCAGTGGATGTGTGGGGCAGGAAGGAGGGTTAGTGGTTAGTAGAAGTGGGTGTGATGAATGATTACAAAGGGATTGGGAGGAAGATGAAAATCTTCATTGTGAGATTAGTTACATGGGGCAAATATGTGTCTCAAAACTAACTGAACAAATAGGTTCATTTATAAGTAAACTATACCTCAATAAAGTTGGTTTTTAAAATATATGAAGTTAGGAAAGTTTCCTTCATTATCTACCAGATGGCATCTTTGACATAGATTCTAGCATCTTTTGCAGTATAATTGAAGCAGCAACAAAATTGTAAGTTTAGAAGTAAATTTAACTGCATAATTTGATTTTTCTCTATAAAATTTGCAATATTAAATAGTCCTTTTTACATATAAAGTCTCTAAAAGAAGGCAATAGTTCAAAAAAGAGTTAGGAACATTATTGTTATATTAATTAGGGAAGTAGAAGCTGATGGAACCATTTCAGTGACTTATAGAAAACTCATTCTAAAGCAAGAATAATTAAGATATCGTGGAATTGATATAAAAGTATACAAGATCAATAAAAACAGAATAAAGAGTCCAGAAACCAACCCTATCTATAAAAAAACTTATTATATAATAAATATCACATTAAAAATCAGTGTGGAAAGGATTAATTATTCAATGAATTATGCTTCACAATTGTTTGTCTATATGAAAAAATTAAATTCCTATTTTATACCATACAAAAAATCAATTTCAGGTAAACTACACACCTAAATATGAAAGCAAACTTAAAGCTTTTTGAAAAATATGTACAAAATATCTTTTTTTTCCCCCCACACTAAATGGGTAATATGCCAATATCATAACAAGGTTTAGAAGGAGGCATATCTCATGCAATAGTATGAAAACCCAATCATAACACTCATGAACCAGAAAAGCATCATCTTTTGATATTAGGAAAAGACTTCTAAGTCTTTTGAACTTCTTAAACAAAAAGTAAAATCATAAAGAGAAGTGAAAAGTGAAATCATAAGGAAAAACATGGACAATACAACTACATCAATATTTAAAACTTCTGAAGAAAAATATAACAAAAAATATAAATGACTCTCACAGACCATATTCCTGGGAAAGAAAATATTTTCTGTGTTTAAGAACAATAAAAAGATGTAATTTAAAGGCATATAAATCAAGAAGAAGACAGCCCGAGAAAAATGGCCAAATGATATGAATCAGCTATTCACAAAAGAGGAAATCCAAATGGCCACACTACACATGAAAAGATGCTCCATTTCACAAGTAACAGAGAATTAAAAATTAAAGCCAACCAAAAGATATGACTTCTCACCCACTGGACAATGAAAAAAAATGTTTAAGTCTCACAATAACAAGGTAAGTATGTGAAAAAATCAGAACCCTCATGCACTGCTCACGTAAATCACTTTGTAGAGTTATTTTGCAGTATCTAATAAAGTGAGAAGAGTAATTTTAACATAGCAATCCTACTTGTTCTCTACCATAAAGAATTTCTCAAACATATATAAAATGAAACATATAGATGGGTAGTCATTATAGCATTTATATAAAATAGAAACAAGTGCCCATCAACAGAAAATGGAACAAAAAATGTGATATATTCACATATATGTAAAGATTATCCTGTATCAACACACACACAACTGCTTTATTCATTGTAAAGTTGCCTCATATTCCATTTATAAATATAATTATGCTTGTACATACATGATCTATTTCTGGAAGTATCTGAATAAGAAATTGGCACAATGGTTACAAAGGTGATTGAAGAATAGAGATTGCAGGAAAACTTTTCACTAAATGCCCTTTTGTATATTTTATATTGTAAACTTTGTGACATTTTAGTGAAAAAAAAATCTATTTTTAAAAATATAAACAATGTGAAAGAAAAAATGTTAAAAACATACAAGGGTACAATATTGTTTACTTAAAATTGTAAAACAGTTAAAAAACTATTGTAGCAAAAGTACAAATACATTTATGGAAAAAATAACAAATTGAGGAAAATTATCTCTGGGAAGATTAGGTAGGAAATGGGATGATGAAGGGATATATAAGAAGTTTTTAACTATATCTCTTAGTTTTTTTCTTTAAAATTTTTAAAAACAAATATAACAAAATAATTAGTATTTAAAGTGCTTGGTGACAAGTACATTGGTATAATATTCTTTGTAATATATGCTTGAAATATAACTCTTTAGAAAGTATGTAAAGCACTCAGCATAGTATCTAGCATACAACAGCTATCTAATAAATGTTACTGTCCAGTCTATAATGCTACACTTTATTATAATTTCTAAGACTTACTCTGCTAACTCCACTTTGTAAACACTGAGTGCTGCAAGGATATTCATTTGGAAAGTTGAAAGGAAACACTGCTTCTGTTAGGAGAGAAAAAAAGAAAATTATCTTAAATATCCATGACTTCAATAAACAATACAACCTCACCCAAAGAGCTAAAATGTCCTGGATATTCTTGGCACTGTTTTGAAGAGTTTTCTGATAGCTAATTTATTCAACAAACATTTATTCAACCCTATGTAATGTCTGTCACTGTGTTAGTGAACAGGTATGCAAGCATGAAAAGAGTTCAGAGATACAAGAGTTCAGAGTCTACTTTAAAAGATAAGCTTATAAATACTGATTATAATACAATTTGATAAACAGCAGGTTATATGAGAGATTTAGAGAAGGTACTGGGGGAGAGCACAGTAGATTCTAGGGTACCACTAGGGGAAGTAATTCAATTTGAGTCTTGGAAATAAAGATGATTCCTTTGGGGACTGGAGTTGTCCAGAGTATGAAAGTATGTTAAGAAAGGCCAAAATTCACAGAAAGAGAAATACCGCATGTCCTCACTCATAAGTGGGAGCTAAAAAATAAACAAATAAATAAATAAAAGGAAAAAGATACAGCAATCACAATAATACATTAAACTTTTGAAAGGAGAGAACAGAACTGAAGTTACCAGAGGAGAGAAATGGGGAGGATCGGGAGGGGTAAGGGAAGAATTGGTAAAGGGCCACGAAAAATAATTACATTGTATAATGTTGAATATACTAATTATCCTGATTTCAGCATCACATACTGCACACAGGTATTGATATTCAACTCTGTACCCACAGATATGCATGATAAACTATGTTTCAATAAAAATAAATAAATTTTTAAAAAGACAAATAATGCTTATTCAAGAAGAAAAAAAAGGCCAAAATTAATTTCTGATTTACTAAACTTTTCTGCCTAATAAACACCTACTCCGCTGCCTGAATATTAAGAGGATTCTAATCAAATGAGAGATTAGAGCTACCTGTCCACTCTGTGTCTGTGAGGAAAACGGAGTTAGTTTAGTCAGGCCCTCTTGCCCCATATCCGGCTGAGTACGAGTCAGCATGTCCGTTGTAAACAAGTTATGTAAGAGTAGTGTTAGTTTGCATGTGCGCCCATGTACTCCTTCACTCGTTGCCACTATTGTCTACTTTCTGTACAAAAGGCAACTGCTCTGAACCACTGGTGGCAAAGCTTGCGCTGGAAAAAAGCACGTCCATTTTGCGGGTTGCTACTTGGTTTTTCTTTGAATTACCTGACTCACACGACTTGCTCAGGACAGGGTAGAGGGATCTGTAATCGAGCCCGACAACTGACATAGTTGTCATCAGGATTCCAGGGGCAGGTAAAGGAGCCACTAGCCCCTCGGGAGGGCAAGGAAATGTGGCTACCCTCAAGTATGTGGTACCCAGTGGCAGCTTCCCTGTTGACAGGGGTCTAGCTGTTGTTCACTGTACTACGAGTCAACATGGACCAGGCACTCCATGAAGCGATGTAGCTTCGAGATTTGCAGCAGAAAGCAGACTTGTTGGAAGTGTGGTCACTTGTTCTGGAGGCTGAAGTACAGCAACAGGTCACTCCCGCTTTTGACACTGGGGACAATGACGAACCCGATGGTGAGTTGGGGGAGACTGTGCATCCCCTGGCATGACTTGTTGTGCATCAGAAACTAAAGCATGAACAGCCTATAGGACAAGGTGGGCAACCAGTAGGCAATCCACAGTGACCCGATTCACTACTTATGTCCAAGCCAAGATGTGTGGTCAATGTGAAGCAGTATCACCTGCCAGGAGGACATGCAGAGATAGGTTCCACTATATTGGAGTTAGAAAAGGTTGGCATTATTTGTTCTGCACATAGCCTAACGCCCTGGTATGGCCAGTGAAAAAACCTGATGGTACCTGGAGGATGACTGTGGACTATCGGGAACTGAACAAAGTAGTTCCTGCTTTGCACCCGGCTGTGCCTTCAGTTCACGACTTGATGGATCAGCTAACAACAGCTAAGAACTTATCCTTATGGACTGGACATTGAAAATGCTTTTTTCTCTATCCCAATCTTGGCTGATAGCCAAAATCAATTTGCCTTCACCTGGGAGGGAAAGCATTGTACTTTTCAGGTGTTACCCCAAGGCTACCTGCATAGCCCAACTACCTATCTTGGTTTAATGGCTGGGGACCTAGCCAGGTGCACTAGGCCCAGTACGGTCACAATATTTCATTACATGGATGATGTCTTACTAACCTCTGATTCTCTTGCAGATTTAACCAAGGCAGCTCCAACGCTGCTAGGTCATTTGGAACGATATGAGTGGGTTGTATACAAGGGTCTTACCCCTTGGATCTCTGCTTGGAAATATCAACGGTGGATGGTAGGCCACTGACCCCTGTAGGGACAAGCCATGTGGCAAGAGTTATGGGAATTAGGGCAGGAAAAGGAAGTAACTCCTTTCCATGTCACAGAACACTTCCCCTTAGCCAGTCCAGGCAATGATGAAGCCAATGCATTGGCTAAGGTAAGATGGCTGGAGAGAGCCCCAGCGACTGATGTAGCCCAGTGTTTACATAAACGAATGCAGCATGCTGGCTGCAAGCCTGTGTGGTCAACATCTCAAAAGCAGAACCTGCCCATAAAATGGGAGGATGCGGTAAATGCATGTCGCATTTTTCTGGTATGCACTCAAGAGAGTGAGTCCACATCCCCGATGGGTGCCACATACCGATGGGCAGATAACCTACGGAAGGGTGCCCCTGACTTGATGGCAAGTGGATTTTGTGGGACCACTGCCAAGGTTAGAGAATTTCAGGTATATCTTTATAGCCATTGATATGGCTACAGGTCTTCTGTTTGTATGGCCATGTAAGGCCCCAGACCAGGTAAGCACTATTAAGGTGTTGCATAGCCTTACAGCCATAGAGAATGATGATGGAACCCACTTTACTGGACATGAAGTACAGAAGTGGGCTTCTCAGTTTTCCATTCAGTGGAAGTTACATGTGCCATATCATCCCCAGGCAGTGGGACTGATTGAACAGTACAATGGTCTTCTGAAAAAGGGACTAAGGCTATCTGCCCAACCCCCATCCCTGAAGGGGTGGTCACAGCAGTTATGGCCAACAGTCAGGATCTTAAATGAGTGACCCTGCAAGGGCAGGCCCTCTCCAGTGGAGGCTCTGTTGCTTAGAGCTGCAGCACCTGGTCCTGCAATCATTCTTTCCAGGATAGTAAGCTGGCATATATTCTGCCAGAGGGATGAGAGCTCCCTCTATTGGTGCCAATAACCTTTTTGTCTTTTTACCCATAGTATTGTGGCTGCAGGCACCAGAGTCGACTGGACACATACATACGCTCGCTTGTGTGGCCAATGTGTTGGCTGACTGAATATGCACTGAGTTTCCTACCAGTTTGGCTGCAGGATTCCTGTGGAAAATCACCCCAATGACGACTACTAATCTGACATGTGTATGGGTAGGGGTTTCACAGCTAACAGTTGAAAGGATAGAGCTATGGGGACAAGCCTCAAGGTATACTGAATGTACAATAAGTACAGAGGTTATGTGGATACAAGGGTCAGCCATCCTCACTAAGAGAACATTGTGGATGATCACAGATGCGAAGACTGTATGGTGAGAAACCATGAAGGGGTGGGGTGTGAGGAAAATGGAGTCAGTATAGTCAGGCCCTCTCACCTTATATCTGGCTGGGATGATTCAGCATATCTGTTGTAAACAAATTACGTAAGAGTAGTGTTAGTGCGCATGTGCACCCATGTACCTTGGCTCGTATTGTGTACTTTTAGTATAAAAGGCAATGGCTCTGAACCACTGTTGGCAGAGTTCGCACCTGAAATAAAGCATGTCCACATTGCGGCGGCTGCTCAGTTTTTCTTTCAACTACCCAACTCACACAACTTGCACAGGATGCAGTAGAGGGATCTGTGATCCAGCATTACAGCGTCCCCTCCCATCCACCCAAGTAACATCTTGGGAGGGAAGGGATCAGTGAAAAACTAGATCTGCAGAGATGAAGGGAGGTAAAAGGCTGTTCACAGAAAGGAGCTGCTGCCAATGAATCTCTATCTTTCCCTTAAGGATAAAATCTGAGACCTGCCCCTATGCAACAGCTTCCAGTACACCAGAAGGATCTGAGATCAGCATTACTAAGTCAAGGTACAGGATGATCCATTAATTTCATTTGCCTGTCCTGAGTCACAGCCATCTGGAGAGGAAACGACCAAAGTAGAGACAATCTTCCTTGAGGGAAAAAAAATGGGAGAACAAACAGGGAACAGGAATTGGTTCCCTTTCTATCTTTTCTGCTTCATCTTTGTACCCAATGACAGAGCTATATTTTCCCTTTTCTAAGTAGCCAGTTAATCCAGTTAAACTCATGAACTAAAGAGAATTTGTATCACCTAAGTTAGACCACAGAAGCCATTTTGGCAACAAGCAATCAATAGAACAAAAAGGTTAATATTCCAATTTAGGAGTTAAATATCAAGCATTTCAAGAATTTTTCCAAAAGTTTTATGGGCAGAAGAAAAACATTGAATTTTACAATTTATTTTGTTTAGATTTTCTAAACTGGAATTAGAAAAATAAATTTAGAATTTATTTTATATAGATTTTCTAATATGGAATTAGATATGTTTCATCTCAAGCACAGCCCTAACCTCTACCTGAGTACACGTATGACATAACCACTAACAGAATCTCTAAGTGTTTTGTGCTGGAAAAGCCTAGGGGCCCAGAAAGACATATGTCGCAGGGGCAGAGTCACTGCATACAGCCTTTGCTAGAGCAATAACAAGTGGAAATGTGGGATTGGAGTTGCAGCAGAGACACTCCATCAGCACCATGTCTACTGGAGCCCTGAGAGTGGAACTGCCATGGAGAAACCAGAATTGTGGTGCCACCAGTGTGCTCTCTCAGCCTGTGAGAGCTAAAGCATGGCCTTAGACCAGGAAAGAAATAGAAGCAGAGCTGCCCGAGGACTTGGGGACCCCATCCCCACACCAGTTCACAGAGAATGCCCAACATGGAATCAAGGTAAATGATTCACAAGCTATAAGATCTAATGTACGCCCTGCTGGGTTTTGGACTTGTTTAGGACTTGTTATCCCATTCTTTTCGCTTATTTCTCCTTTTCAAACGGGAATATGTACCCTATGTTTGTCTCGCCATTGTACCTCAGAAGTAGATGACTTGTTTTGATTTCACAGATGGGACTTATGTCTTTTGAGTTGAAACAATTTAAGACTTTGAGGATAGAATGAATATGTTTACCTGTGAGAAGGATGTAAACTTTGGGAGTCAGGGGAGGAATGATAAGGATTGGAATTGTGTCCCCCAAGTTTTATGTATTAGAAGTTTGATGCCCACTGTGACTATTAAGAGGGTGGAAAATCCTATTATGGTAATTGAAAGGTGAGGTTTTGGATAGGTGATTAGATTCTGAGGACCATGCCCTAATGAATGGATTGATAATGGTGGTCATGGGTGTAGTTCAGAGGGCTTTAAAAGGAGAACACATGAGAGTCTCTCTCTCTCTCTGCTTTGCCATTTTCCACGATGTGAGACTCTTGCATTGCTGTAAAGCCATTACCAAAAAGACCCTTACCAGATGTGTTCCTTGGACTTTGGACTTCCCAGCCTCCAAACCTGTAAGTAATAAGTTTTGTTTTCTTATAAATTACCCAGTTCTAGGTATCTTTTTATAAACAACAGAAATGGACTAATACATGTACCAATCTTTTTTTGTTTTGTTTTGTTTTTGCACGTAGGTATGGCTTTTAAAGGGCAAATTCTCTCTCCGGCATGATCGCTCTACAGTGATCATAATCACAGGGCACAATTTGTATTCTATCACTGTGACCAGAAGCCAGTTAACTATGAAAATGAGACATGAAAAAAACACACAAAGTTACTTTCAGTCAAGGACTATTCTTCCTACCTTTGTTGGTCTAGTAGACCATGTACTGGGAGATTATTAAGAATCTTTTCCTTTTGGTAATACTTCTAAACTCTTCGAACAGAAGAAATCATTAGTTTTCATTTCTTTAAATATCCACCTCAAACAATTACTTTATATATTATTTAGCCTTTCAAATACAAATTAGCCATTAATAAACTAATATTTAAAGAACTGTACATTATATTACTCACCTGGGGGAGAAGTCAGATGACGAACAGGTCTTGCTGGTTGAAGCGGTTTACCAATAAATTTTTTGGTTTCCATTGTCACAAAGATCTTGAGGTTCCATACTTTAACAAGGAAAAATACATTGCTTTACATATACAAATAACTACAACACTCATTTGTAGATACTTATTTTATAAGTTAAAGTTTGGAAAACACAAACAAAAAAAATCATTTAAAATAACATGCAATAACCTTACGCCTCTTTATAGCATTTGCTACAGTTGAACATTCTCTCTTTAAAACATTTTCCTTCCTTAACTTCCCTGACTCCGTTCTTCTGGTTTGTTTCCTCATTGATTTTGAATGCCTCTTCTAACTTCTTTAGCTGATTCCTCTTATTCTGTAACTTCATCTATTCTCATGGTTGTAACTACTTATCTACATGACTGATATGCTCTAATTTACACTTCCAGCATCACCTCTGTTTTAAATTTCAGCTCTATTTTTCTAATTGCCTAATAATATTTCAATTACTTTGACCCCAAAGATGTCCCCCCTCCTGTATTCCTTAAAGTGATGGTCTAAATTAGATCCCCCACCCCATAATCAGTCTCTAATTCCTGTCCATTCTACTTCCAAAATATATTGCAAATATTTTTATCTTCATTCCCATCACTACTCTTATTTCCACAGTAGTTCTTTATTCATCTCATTGATCACCTTTAAAATAGATTTAAATGCTCGGCCTCTCTGTTCTTGAGATACCAAAAATACATCCACATCATTTAGAGAACATTGTGCTATACTATAATTGTTGACTTACTTGTCTTACATGCTAGACAAAAGTGAGGAGCAGAATTTTCTCAAAGTGAGAAAGGATATCTTTATTTATCCTATATGCCCCACAACTAACACAGTACCTCAAATGAATCCAAAGTAAGTACAAAATAAGCATAGCTCAAACAAATGGATGAATATAGTCTCTTTTTTCCCCCTCCAAACTATGATCCCTTTACACACACTCCTGCTTTAAAAACTTCAGTTCCCCATCATCTCCTGAATTATCAATAATAGAAACAGGAGCCAACATCCATAGTAAATCACTTACCTACAACCTAATACATAACTGTATGGATAATAACAGCCTCTATCTCCTAGGCTTGATGTAAAGACTAATCTACATAAAGCACTTAGCACAACACCTGGTACATGGTAAGAGTTCAATAAATGTTAGCTAATATTATTATTATCCCCATTTTACAGATAAGACTTAGAAAAATAAGGTAATTTGCCCAAGGTTAAGACTCTAGGAAGGGATGGGTATGCCACCATGCTTCTGGTCAACACTCTACAATCCAGCTAGCCCCAACCTGTCTTTCCATCTCACAGCCAGACAGAACTTCCCAAATGCCGGGTTAAATAATCTTTTTATACACTCAAAGATCCCCTGTATCCTCTTCCACTGTGGTATTTATTGAGCCCATTGTGATTATTTATTACCTGACTATTAAATTACAGTTCTATCATTCTATTAAATTACAGTTCTATCTCTAGTGTCTAGCACAGTGTCTAGTACACAGTGCATGTTCAATAAATTGTTGAATTTATATTATTTTATTTCACCATACATACATCTGAACATTCAGGTGCTCTGTCTGGAGTTGCCTAATGATATTTCAATTTACATATTATCAAAGGTACTTCAAATTCAATATATCCAAAATCAAATTAATCACTTCACCCTCACTCTCTCTGCTGCTCTTCTGCCAAATAGCTATTCACCTTTCAAGACCAATGTCAAGCTCTTGCTACTTCCTTGGAAAATATCCTCTTATTTCAATAGGTAATGTTAAATAAAATGGTTTGCATGAAGTTTTCTAGTTGCCAGTAAACAGTTAATACTAAAATAATAATAATAATAATAATAATAATAAATTCCTCTTTCCTTACCTTCCTCTTCCACTGGTCCCTACTGCATTCCATCTACCAGGTTTTATAAAATATGTTATACTACATATATTAAATGTTTAGTGGATTACACTATGAGTTAGTTGAAGCCACAAAATCTAGGCTTTGTTTATCTTCGTATCCTAGTACCTACAACATAATTAGACTTACTAAATAAACTCAATAAATTTAAGTACCTCCTCAGCATAGGATACAAGCTTTCCAAATTTTGATGCCCATCAAGACAAAGTCAAAAGCAAAACCTCACTTGACTTTGCACTTGCTCACCCAGAAATGTATAACCATATTATCTTGAGCAAATGATGTCTAAGTGATTGTTTTCTTAAATATAATAGGGTTAATAACTCCCTTTGTAGTTCCAAAAAAATACTTTATCCTATTTAAAAATGCCTTTGGACATATGTAATTCAAATGTTAAAATCATAAACTTATAAACAACCTCTCAAAGTCAGCAATGATAACTAAGCCCAAAACAGTTGCTTTTTCCTGAAATTTGGAGATGAGCCAGCCAGTACTCCAAGTTAATACCTACCTAGCTATGTAATGTCTGTTAACTAGTATTTCAGTATGGCTGTTATCAAACTTCTAAACAAAACTAGTGCTATCTGTACTTGTTGGCAATACAACTTTGACTAAAAGGAAGCAAAAAAAGTGATAAGCACAAGTAGAAGAAAAAAAAACTTCAAACAAATATTTATTGAATATTTTCTATGGGTAAGGGAATATTTAGAACAAAGACCAAAAAGCAATCTAATATACATTACTTTATTTAACACTTATCCTAGCCATTTTAATTAGGATCATAATACTAGTATCTAGTAACTTTCCACCCTGTTTCCCATATGAAACTAGCGAATCCAAATACAATAGAATAGAGTACTTTGGCTCATACTTCTTTTGATTTTCATTGCTCAGCTGAAATTGAGTTGTAGGTTGTAGAGTTTTTTCCAGTTGCTGAGCAAGGCAAATCCACAGTATTCAAACTAGGGATTTTCAAGAGTTGGGGAATTATAATGACTTTGCAACACAAGTAAATAAACAAAAAATAAAAGCTCTTTTAGTGCCATCTACCCTTCAATTTCTATTAGGAAAGATACAGAGAGGAGTCCTCATATAAATCCACATTAGTTAAAATTAGAAATGATGGTGCCATGCAATACTTTATTTAATATGTTTTTAAAAAGCAAACTATGCCTACATAGAAACAGTGACATTATAGGGAATGAATCTGGGATTACAATGCAAACTACATACCATCATCATGTTATTAATGGAAAAGGTTAAGTATTTACAAGAAATAATTATTATTATAAAACTTATCCATGAGATAATATAATCAAGACAAGACTCCATAAACCAAAACCTAATTATCAGTTAAGTTAAAAATAATAAAGACAACTGAACTACAAAGCCAATATACAAAATAAATTCAATCTTTGATACCTACTTCACCCATAGAATGTAGAGTTCAAAAAGTTTCCCTTGAAGCTACTGGTACTACCTAGAGTTACCATTTATTCTATCAACTGTTACAAAGGACACCAGCTACAAAAAAAAACCAGAATTCCACCTACAACACTGGGTATCAAGTAGTGGGTGGATCATAAAGTTGTCTTTTAAAATATAAATATACTTTTGCAGCTGGGAGGAAAATAGAGTAGCTTAGTCAGGCCCCCTTGCCTCAGGTCTGGCTGGGTGTGGTGCAGCACATCCTTTGTAAAAAGGTTGTGTGGGAGCAGAGTTAGTGCACATGCATGCCTATGTATCTTTTGGCTTATTGCTACTTTTGTGTGTTCTTCCATGTGTGAGGCATTACTGAACTGCTGGTTGGCAGAGCTCCCTGAAAATAAAGCCTATTATTTCTTTACCCACAGCTCTAAGGACCTTTTCCTGTTACCTAGCTCACAGACCTGCACATGAAGGGTTTGTGACCCAGTCTAGACAATGGGCTCAAGGGGTCTGTGAGCGCCGAGCCCTAGCCCTAGCTTTACAGCAGCATATTTTTTTTTTTGTCTTTTTGTCTTTTTTCCGTGTCCGGCAACGGATCGCAACCCTCAGTGTTGCCCCCGTACCGGACCGGGGACCGGCAACGGGATTGCAACCCTCGGTGTTGCTCCCGCGCCTCACTCAGCCAGTGAGCGGGAACCGGTCTGTATGTGGGATCTGAATCCTCGGGCAGGAGCGCTGCCGCGCTTCCCAAGCGGCGCACTATCCAGTACGCCACCGGGCCAGCCCTACAGCAGCATATTTTTTAAAAATATCTTGATCCAGTGTCTCAAAAATACTCATTCAATTAATACATGCTGATAAATGGTTGCTGAATGAAGTGATTTTCATACATATTTAACAAATTATCTTAAAAGGCCAAGTTGTATGAATAGAATATTGGTCTGTAAGTCAAGAAACCTAAATTGTAGTTGCTATGTCAAATCTGGCAATACTAACTATATCTTAGGTTCCTATTCTGTTTAAAAAAATTGAACTAACTATGATCCTAAGGCCCCACCAATTCTGTAATTACAAATTAACCTAGAGTTTCCTAAAATATAGTACAAAGTGATTAATAAGCACATACACTGACCAGTTTGAACAAAATCTTACTAGCCAGTATATAATATTCCTATTTAAATTAAAATGCCATTCTTAGGTCCACTATTCCATGTGAACATTACATACCTGGACAAAAAAATTAATTATGAGAAGGCATATTTATATACAAAGATTTGCTGACTAAACTGGTGTGTGATAATAATTTCCATTTCTTAATTTACTAAATAAATAATGAGCTTACTATGCTTTCCTCATTCTGTAGACATGGTGCATGTCATAATAATCACAGGTCCCAACATAAGAAACATATTATGTACTGGTTTTAGAAGCTGGGTACTACACTTAAAATATCCAGCTTAAATTCTAGACTTCTTTAGAAAGTGCTGATGATTCTACTGCAATTAAGAAATAAGATTATATAAAATGAAATGACATGAAAATACCACATTTTCATTTACTTGTGTATATTTCCCATATGATAACCAGATAGAATTTAATCTTAATTTCCAACTTCAAAACTTTCTTTTATGAAGTTAGGATTTCTTGAAACCAAATGCGGCTGGTAAGTAAACTGCCCATACTGATACAATGATAGAAGAAAAGTAATCTGAAGAAAATATAGGGGAGTAAGAGATAGACCAACTATGACTTAGGGGGTGAAAGACATTTTACATTCAACAAATCGGGTGGCACAACTCAGGAAAAGTTAAAACTAAAATATCAAAAAACTATAAACCTAGAGAGTTCCCTCATATTTTTTATTTTATGCCTTCTCTTTATAACTAACCGAAAAAAAAAATTTTTTTCCCCTCTATTTGAAGCATTCTCTAATACCAACACTATTTAACATTTAGATGGGATAAAACTGTCCGGGTAACAGGTGTTTGTGGTTACCCTAACTAATGTAACCGTGCTTTTCTATAGTTTTGCCCAAAATATCAGTGAAATAGTGAAAATCTTTTGCCCCAGGGTATGGGGGATAAAGTCTTGAAACCATCCTACCGCCTAGCACCAGGTCCTGGGACAGAGACAGAGGGTGCTGTGTATTTATTCACTTTTTTGATGGTTGGTTGGTTGTTGTTAACATGCCCTCTGCAGTGTAACCCTCTGCACGTCCCACTCTACATCCGACCTAGGGACCCGACGTGCTCGCTCCCGTCCCACTCTACGTCCCACATGGGGACCCCGCGGGGGCCCTCGGTAGTTTGTCCCCACCCACCTCAGGGCTTCCCTCCCTCTCCTCAACTTTCCCGGTGCCGGGCCTCGAAGACGGCGCCCAACCGCGGAGCCCGCCTTCTGTGCCCCGGTGTCACTCATGCTCCCCCAGCCACCTACCGCCTCAAGATCCAGGAGGACTTCGGGGCAGCAGCAGCGTCTCCGCGCTCAGCTCAGACGCCGCGGCCGAGCTCCCAGCGGCCCGTCGGGGAACGGCTCAGGCCGCGCGACCGCTCGCGACGACGGGGGGCGGAGCCGGCGGAGACTCGGAGGGGCGAGGGGCGAGGGGCGAGGGGCGAGGGGCGAGGGGCGAGGGGCGAGGGGCGAGGGGCGAGGGGCGAGGGGCGAGGGGCGAGGGGCGAGGGGCGAGGGGCGAGGGGCGAGGGGCGAGGGGCGAGGGGCGAGGGGCGAGGGGCGAGGGGCGAGGGGCGAGGGGCGAGGGGCGAGGGGCGAGGGGCGAGGGGCGAGGGGCGAGGGGCGAGGGGCGAGGGGCGAGGGGCGAGGGGCGAGGGGCGAGGGGCGGGACCGGGGCGGGCGTGGGGCGGGGCCTCGGGGCCGGAGCCGTTAAACCCGCGGCGCGCGCTTGCCCTGGCGTGCTGGCAAGTGGCCTCTGGGAGGTGCTGACTGGCTCGCCCCGCACGGGGTGCTCCCGCATGAACAGCCTTCGGGACCCCAGTCCGCGGCCCTGCTTGCCGGAGGACAGGGAGGAGCGAAGCGACCGCCGGCACCGGGCCGGGCTGTGGGCTCCAGGCAGCCTCAGTGAGGGGGACCGCCTCTGTGAGGGGGACCGCCTCTGTGAGAGGGACGCTCTGTGAGGGCGCGGCTCTGAGAGGGACGCTCTGTGAGGAGGACAGCCTCTGTGAGGGGACAGCCTCTGTGATGGGGACCGCCTACGCGCTGACGAATGAGCCCGTCCCGCGTCTGAGAGGGCTGGAGGGCCCCCTGATGAGTCCGGTGGGTGCCAGGATACGGGTTGGCAGGTGCTTGAGAAACGAATGGTTCACATGAAGCCGGAAAACATTATCTCATACTGATCGCCCTCCTGAAAGGACCAAAATTAATTGAAGCAACTCCATCTGAATCTGCATCATTTTCAGTTTCACCTTCATTCCTGCTGATATTTTCCTCGTTATCTTTGAGTGTCCCCTTTGGCGACAGCCGTCTGCCTGTGCTGGGGGACGTAGGGGCGGCACACAGGTGAAAAGCCCAGTTCCTGCCATCATGGGCCTCACAATCCAGGGGCACCCGGGCTAGGAAACAATTCTGTGGGTCGCGATGTGAGCCCTGCGATGGAGGAACAGAAGATTTAGGTTGGGGGCGCAGTGCAGGGAATGTCTAAATTAACCCTTAGGCTTAGAAGGTCCGAGTTTTCAGAGCAGCTGACGCTTAGTTTGTTGCAGTTGCCTGGGGAGAAGAAATGAGGAATGGAGAGGAGGACTTGCAAAGGGAAAAGAAAACGTGTCTGGTGTGAAATAACTGGAGTGGGGGAGCCAGTAGCGGGGAAAATAAAACAGGAGAGGTTAACGTGAATCAGAACACGAATCCTTGTAAGGTCGTCTTTTAAGTGAAGCAACATCTCTGAAGGATTTTAAACGAATATTGTCATGATTAAAACCGAAAATTTGAAAGATTATTCTAACAGCCATGTGGAGGGTAGATGTTTACGGGAGTGGAAGATATACCAAAATTAAACAGGTCACAAGAAGGCTTCCTTAGTACCGGTTGCAGTAGCCCCAGTAAGAAATAAGATGTCTGAGTTAAGTAGTGAAGAAGGGATAGACCTGGGAGTTGTTGATGAGGTGAAACCAAAAGAGTTTAGTGACCCATTGGATGAGAGGGGCAAATGAGAAGAGAATATAGGGTGACTCTTGGGTTTCTGACTTGGGTGAACAAGTGAGTCGCTGGTGGTGACATAAATGTAGAAACATCCCACACCCGTGTATACAACTAACATTGTTTTCCCTTTATAGTTAGACCTTAATGGTTAAATAAAATTGTATTGAAAGCAGACATGATGTCTCACCCAAAATAATCTCTCAAAGCAGGAAGCAGCTTTCCATCACACTTGAAGACATTGTCTCCCCAAAACATTTACCTATATAAATCTCAGGTCTCAGTCGATTGGGGAGGCAGTTGGGACTTCACCCTCTGTCTCCTGGTTGATGTCTTCGGAAATAAAAAGACTTTCCTTAAGTTCTGTCTGGTGGGTGTGATTGGTGATCCTGTAATGGGGAGCACTTAGACCCACATGGGTTAGGGATTCCCCTGGAAGGGGGAATTGACATAAAACGGAATACATGAGGCAGAACAGGTTTGGGAGGAAAATGATGTGTTGATCGGGAGTTGTAAATATGAAATTACAATGGAATATTTAAGTTGAGGCATTCAGCAATCTATTTTTTTTATATATAAGATATAGACCCATACATATATATAGCATGTATATACATGTGCATACACATATATGTCATAGGCATATTATAGATAAATTGAACATTAGGAAAGGGGAGCTAATTTAAGAAAATACACATTCCAGAGAGAAGTGTTTAGGAGGAGAATTCAAAAGGCAAGTAACCTCCAAAGAAGGCTGGAAACCAGAAGGATATGAGGTAAAAGCAAAGAAAACTTGACTAGAATGGGGTGTCCGAAGACAGAAGGCCTGAAAAAGGGGATCATCTAAACTAGTTCTGAAGGTAGATGTAGAATAAGAAAATTGTGTTTATGTGAGGGGAATAACAATTAATGGCTTGGGGTGGGAAAAAAGTTTGGCATATTCTAGAAACTAATGTAAGACCAGAATGGCTGGTCTTTAGAAAGAAAAGAGAAGGTTGAATATGAGTTTGGAGAAATGGGAAAAACCAAAAATCATAGTGATTTTTGACTTTAGTAAGGAGTTCGAATTTTACTATGAGCACTAGGAAGCACTGAAGGGATTTATGTGGGCCAGTAATATGATAGGATTTATCATTTTAAAAGGTGTGGAGTTTCACAAGCACTTCCATGTACAGTCAAGTTATTGCTAGCTGTTTCGGTGTAGAAATGGCTTCCAGAAACACTCCAACCATCCGTTGAAACAACTCACCTGGCGTCAGAGACTAAAGTGCAGGGTCAGATGACATTTCATAAGAACATCCTATGGCATGAAGCACCAGAAGTCTGTGGACAGTGGAGTCAATATATCCTTTTCAACCCCCAGATGTAGAAAATTGTAAATGCAGAATTTAGTTCTCATCATTCTATTCAAAATAGTTTTCCTCAGGAATAACAATGCAACATATATAATTTCATATATAACTCAAAATTATTTTGTACATATTACTGTATAAAATCAATAGAAATTATTGTGACACAAATGTGAATTGGAAGAAAATTTTTTTTTCAGATCAAACCAAAATCAGTAATTTATTGAGGGGAAGAGATAAATTTTAAATAGAAATAATAAATAGGCTCCTAGATTTTTTGATAGTTGATGAAAAATGAACCATATTAACACACTGAAAATTTAAAATTTCTTGTTGATTTGGTATAAAGTATTGGCATCTACAATGATAATCTGAAACTCATAATACACCTTTACAACAAGAACTTGACAACAAACAGGTTAATGACCTTTTGCAATTTAAAGAGTACTTAAGGTTAGTTACTGCCCAAGAAAACTTGAAGTGCCCTGAAATCACAGAGCACACATAAGAAACTCATGACACCTTTCCCCAAATTTACCAGTACTAAAAATTGACATTTCATAACCAATAATTAGTGAAACAAATTAAATTTTCTAAACTTTCAATAATAATAAATTAAATGTTGATTAACTATGCCTGAAAGGAATACCAAACTATTCATTCTCATCAGAGAAAATGGATTACAAAATTTTTGCCAAATGAAGGGGTAATCAAAAATATACAGCTAAAAATAAAGGAAAAACATAGCAGTGGTTCGGACAATAAATTAAAAGTATTATTTTTTTCTGGATCTTTTTTATGTTTGGTGTTTGTTGTCCTTTTAAAATCTGTAATTTGGTGTTATTGCTTTTCTTATTCCAAGTAAATATTTACTTTGCCCCACAAAATGGTTTGGAGAATGGATTGAGGATAAGCAAAAGTAGCAACAGAAATCCCTGTAAGAAGTATAATAATTCAAAGTTAATATGTCTTACTACTTGCAAGTAGAAGTTTTATTTACAATTATATTTTTATATCTCATTTAACTACCTTCACAGTACCTAGTGCTAGTAATATTCACATGTGTGTGACCTTGTCTCGTGGTATGTTCCGTCTACAGGTATGACAACAGATGGTTTTAATTTGATAAACTAATTGTTAAGATAAAGGCACTTTATCTTAACCTGGGTGTTGCTACTAAAAGCCTGAAGAGTTAGGAAAAGCTGAAGAGGTAGCATTATCTAGTCTTTACCAAATGATCTCCTTACCAATCTCCTGCTAATAGTCAGCCTCTCATTCATTTATTCCACAAACATTTACAAAGCATTTTGTGAGGGATACACACACACACACACACACACACACACACACACACAATTATTATAGCAATGCATTAAAAGCTGTAATAGAGATTTGGTTCCATTCAGCTCAGCTCAGCTCAGAAAAAAAATTTTGAAGGACAATGCTTACTATGTGCTAGGACAAACTGAAATAAGACTAGTATAGCTGATGCACAATTAGCAAAGAGAGTGATAGTCTAATAATAGTGCTTATAAACTAGTAAGTGAAATAGAGGGTAGTATAATGTAGTAGAAGTATTTACATAGAATAAGAATACTACAAGGAAAGACATAATTCTTTTGAAGGGTGGGAGGGAGGAGAAGGGGATCATGAAAGGGTTCGTAGGAGAGGTAATGCCTGAGCAGGATTTTAAAGGATAAAAAGTTTACCCACTTAGTAAAGGACATTTCTTGCAGGTGGAAGGACAAGCCCAAAGCCATATCGCAATAAAACACAGTCAGTACAAGAAAACACCACTAATTCAGTACTGCAGAAACACAAAATACAAGAGACTGCTTGGTAGCGGCTCAATATTAGGCTAAAGAAAGATGAGAGGTCTTTTATCTTTTTATAAGGATATGGAGAGAAACTGAAGGATTTTAGGTTGGGTGTGATACATGTCCATTTGGAATATATAAGCGACAATGTGGAAAATGGATTGGGAAGAGGGGCAGGCAGCAGGCAAGGCAAGCAAGGCAAGCAAGGCCGGGAGAGTAAAATAGGCACTGATTGTGAAGAAAGAAAAGTGCATGCAGTTGAGAGAATAAGGGAAAACTG